ATGAACGGGTCAGCCCTCCTATTCCCAACAGCATCCCAAATTATAAATCATTTTCACTCATTTTCTCAGCACCTTTCTGCACCATTACGTCAATCATGAACCAACATCAACCGTAAAAGTCACGTGTGAATACAAACAGAGCCATTCGCTGAGGTAAGGCTGTTACATTCTGTGCAGTAACACATGGTAACTGACTAATCACACTGACCCTTCCACGTCATGTTTCATTGTGCTTGCATGCAGTGCTGCTTACTTATATAATGCTTCAGCTCATCCCAGCATTTGCTTTTGGCTTGACTTCTAGAAGGCTAGACATAATTGACTATATCGCCAGACTCAGCAGTTTAATAAAAGACGCATTGATTAATCAAGAATTCCATTCTGCTGAATTTTTGTTGATGCTGGTCCTTTGGTGGATTTGGATGGGGAGTCGCCATGTTTACCAGCAGAGAAAGACTAAGCCCCCCCACTCAGGCATTCAGAGAGATCTGGTACTTGATATATGCTCAGGGGCGTCAGAAGCATTTTGAATGTGGGGGGGGGGCGGCACACTGGCATAAAACTAATATTTAATGTTAAATGTAGGGGGGTCCAAACGAATAATTATGAAATGTGAGGGGGACACGTCCCTCTCGGGTTTAATGGTGGCGATGTCCATGCATGTGCTACAGCTTGGAATGGACGAGGGAGTGGGACTCAATGCTTGAAGGACCAAAACACTGCACTACAAGCTCTCTATTCTCCATGATGAGCTGAGGCCCACCACATAGACTGACTTTGTTGCATTGTAGCTGGGCAGAAGCCTCATGGGTGTCATGGAGGCTCACATCTCCAGGGCTGGGAGCTCCATTTTGCGTGTGGACTTCCTCCTGGTCCAAAAACATGAGGTCTGGCACGTCGCTGTCTCTGAATTACCCATGGTGCATGAATATTCCTGTGTGTGCCTTGCAATGGACTGACACCCTCCCTGCTGGGAGGCCCAAGGCACACTGATACCCCATACTGGGAGCCTTTTGGTTAAGGCTGTGATTAAGGTCTCTGGATTAGATTACAAGGTTCTAACCTCTCAGGACATACCAGCAGAGTAGTATATTAGGTTACTGGGCACAGGCTTGATTTTGGTGATCGTGACACATCCATAACAAAGTCATATTTTTCATCCCGATTGTCATGTCCAAGAGATATATGTCCAGAATCATAAAAATGCTAATCAAATTCCAAGCGCAGCTTTAGATAAATTTCCTATGGCTCCTTAATTTTATTCGCTCCTCATTTATTATGTTGACAGGCATTTGCTAGAGGTGAGGATGTACCTTTGCTTTTCAAAGTATGTGCTTGAATGTCAATGCGCATTGTTAATCGGGGGATGGCAGTAAAACAGTGTTAAACATCAGCGCCGTGAGGAAATGTCTGCTACTTTAACCAGGCCTGCTCGTTCATATAGGAAACGTGTTGCTGCCCCGTTGAGTGCTTAATGGACAGTGGGAACCAGTCCAGAAGAAGAGACTGGCTTGTAATTATTGATTGGGTGAAATAAGTTAATAGCAACCGGATAAATAGATGGTGGAAACTAATGATTGTGTCCATCATGCTACACTCAGAAGCATTCTTCATTTACTAAATCCCAGGTTCAAAGGCATTTATTCATTGCCATCAACTGGAAGTGCCCTTCAGACCCTGCCCTTGGTTCAGTCACACCCACTGCATATTCCTTAGCCCAAGTCGTCTGGCTGCCAGTCTGTATTTTTCCTGTCAGAGCAAAAGCAAAACCAGTCCACACATGTCAAAGCTCCAGGGGATTTTCCTCTTCCTGACTTCTGCACATCAATCTGCAGGAACAGTAAAGAAATAATAGGGATTTACCACAAAAGACAGGAGCTGTTTTGAATGAGAAAGAGTAAAATGTAAAGCATGACTGGATGTCCAGGTTAAACACATGCACAGGTTGCGGGACTTGGAGAGAAGCGAGAAGATCTGTCAAAATGAACATAGTAAAGATACTGCAAACAGTACAATCATGATTCTGAACAAGCATTGTTCAAATCTGCTCATTCATTTCATCACCCTCTATTCTAGATATTTGATTTTAACTATGAACAAAAGTTTTAAGAAAAAGGTCCAAATCTACAGGTCCAAACCGTCACTGGGACCACTGGTCCTTGTCCTGATAGGTAAACAGCATGATCCTGGACTTAGATCTGCAGTGTTCTTGGCCATTAATTTGTATTCCACGTGGATGTTAACATTCAGCTTTAAAGCATTCGGGAGTCTTTCTATAACGTAAGCCAAGGTACGGGCACACAAATCTACTCAGCGTTTGCTGGAAAGCCTCTCGCATGTTCATCCAGGACTACCTGGTCTGGTCCAACTGTTTCCTGTGTACATTACATAAATCACAGAATTTCCTGTTTCCACACAGATTGGCTTATGTAAGACCGTTGCCTACAAATGCTGCTGTTCATGGCCTGAACAGAGAACAAGAGATCGCAGAACTCACTTGCATGCAGTCCTACCTACACGTCAATGTCATAGAATTAGAAATGTTCAGGTGTTAGGATAAAATATTACAATAGGATTTAAGATTACGAACATGAGCACTGAAAGGAGCCAGCTGAAGTGGCTTGGGCATATATCTAGGATGCCTACTGGACGGCTTCCTGGGGAGGTGTTTGGGGGATGTCCCACCAGAAGGAGACCCCAGGGCAGACTCAGGACATGTTAGAGACATTATATGTCTTGACTGGGCTGAGAACGTCTTGGTATCCCCCAAAGGAGCTGCAGAATTTGGGGAAGGGAGGTCTGGGCATTTCTGCTCAGACTGCTGCCCCTACGACTCGGCCCCGGACAAGCAGCAGAAAATGGATGGATGGATGGATGGATGGATGGATGGATGGATGGATGGACAATCATCCAAATACAAGCATGTGGTGCAGCTGCCAATCCTTTTGTATTTCATGATGTTTAAAAACATTCAGAAAAACAGGCAGCACTTCATCCATAAGGCTGAGTTTCTGACACTATAATTATATTCATCTACATGTATTTATTCAGGAGACACTTTTGTCAAAAGTGACGCACAGGTGAGTCAGGTAAAGCAGATAAAACAAGCACACAGCAGTCAAGCAGTCAGCTTAGGTATAAGTGCTGGTATGATAAGCTTCCAGTGACTGACCAGTAACAGGTGCAAGGTAATTACTGGAACAAGAGCTACACGGAACCTACCATTAGAAAAACTATTCAAAAAATGCCAGTGGAATCTAGTTTAAGTGCAAAATACAAGAATATACAGTAGCGTCCAGTAGTGCTAAAAGGAACCGTTTCAATGTAACAGCTAAACAGGACATGAAGCTGGGGGGGTGGGGGGGGGGTCATTGAGGTGCTCTCAGCAGAGATTGCTCCTATGGGCATTTCCTAAAAGTTCTAAATGAAATTGATAATAAATAAACTGGATCATTTGGAGAGAAGAGTTCAATGTGCTCCCTCAGCATGAAAACCACCCCCTAAAATCCTTGTTTTCTGCCCCCTTCGTCCAGCCCCCACCCCCTCATCCCCACTCTGACTCATTAGCTTTCATATGCCTGGTTCACAGCCCATCGCTGACTTTGCTGATAAGTCATTGGAGGCCATTTGTACATTTGTATCCTCCTGAAAGAATCGGACAGCAGGTAGCGAACCACAGTCATGATTCATTCTCCTTTTTCAGTAATAGGTTTGAACAACCGTTTCCTGCTCTAATGAATTATACCTGGGGCCTGGCTTTGCTATCTGTTTTCTTTCCTGGGTTATTTTCATCTGGTTTTTGTTTAGATGGGGAGTTTGTTTAACCAGGACATCATACCCCCCTCCCTCCCCAGTTTAATTCTGACTAGGGAGAATTTAAAATTATGGCTTTTAAAACGTTGTGCTAAATTGTCCTCCTCAAATACATCATATTCTGTAGTCATTATGTCCATCATCCAGCAATTTTTCCCGGACAGGATCACTCTGGGGAGGGGGGGCGCACCCTGGACAGGATTCCAGTGCACTGCAGGGCACACACTCACACACTATGGACAATTTAAATATGCCAGTATAGCAGAGTACCTGTAGGAGTGGGATCCAGACCCTGAACACCACCCCCCAGCCCGGTTAAGATGAAAATAAAAAAACATTTTCTTAATAGCTAAATATGACAAATAAAAGAACACTGACGTTCACTATTGGAAAAATAACCACATATTATAAATTCCAGGTTGCTGGATACGAACAAGCAATTGGAAAAATATTTATACAGCTAATTGTTCGTAAAAGCTCCAATTCGTTTGTAATGATTTTATTCCTTTTGTACTTATTTGTAATCATTTGAATGCTTTTGTGCTTCTAGTAAAATTAACTAAATTAGGTTATTCTGTGCACCCACTTTTTTTCTATGGAATAAACAGAGTGAATAGACATCAATCAATGTTACAATTAAAGGCTCCGGTTAAACTCAATGTAGAGAATATTAGGGGATCGTATTAAGTAAGCTTCAAAATTTACCCTGAGAGAACTTAAGAACGTCATGTATACATTTCAAAATAGAAGGCTCTGTCGTGGTAAACAGGCAGGTCATCAGTTTAAATAAATTTATATTAAAGCTTTCACACTTTAAAGAATATGATTATCCCTTTCGTTTTTACGTGAATTTACTTTTTCTACAAACTAGTCTCACGAAAAATCATTCTCAATTTTGCCAAGATTTTGAGTTAAATAATGGTATAAATAGGACTATAATACTGCTTAAATAGCCTATATTTAAATTTTACTTTCCAGACACGTTACATATACTTCCAGAACAAATACATCCAGAACAAATAGTTGACAAAGAAACATGGACAGTGTAAAAAACTGTCGATGATTTGTATTGTTTTATTTATTTTTTGGCGAAGAGTTTTGTTTTCCGGAAAGCAAGACTACGAGCCCCATGATGCCAAGAGGGTGGGCTGAGCCGGCGGGCACCGAGGTGTGGAGGATGGCGGGGAGGGACGCAGGTTGGGACTCGGTTGGAGGGATTATGCATGCTTCGTGGGGGTCGGGGGCGGCCTCACGGCTCCGGAATCTCCTTGTCTCCGCATCGTGGGAGCAGACCGGGGAAGTCGCGCAAAGTTGGAGATGCAAATGTTACGTGTGGGCGCTTATAGAGCGAAGAAACATTTGAGTCGCCCAGAAGTCTCGCATTCTCAAATTATCGAAAGTGCACAAGCTATACATAGTTCATGATTTTAAAAAAATTATATTATCTTTCGGATCGCAAGACTGGGTACAAAGTTATTCTGAATACGGTGACCGGATCGCCAACACTTTTCGCGAACAATAAAGCGGATCGGCGTTTTCTTCCCATTTTTCGCTTCAAAAGGTAAAAAAAGAAGTTTTTCTTTGTGTCTCATAAATGTTTCGTGCTATTTTGCATTCATTCCCTGTTTAATGGGGGTTTACACGTTCATTTGTAATCAGAGTGCTCTTTTCCTAAAGCAAAGCAGACTTGCGCGTTTGTATCTAGCCCCTTTCTTGCTGGATCGGCCAATTAACTCCGCTCTCCTGTATTTACCGTATTTGATGTAGTGGTTATTTAGTATCCTTTCAAAGCAAGTAAATCTATTAACTGTTAAGAATCAGTACCTACGAGTACGGTGAAGTTTTTCGCTTCTTAGGCGAGATCAGATCGGATTTTCACCTTCGTTTGCTGCATCGTCAGATCGCAGGGTTACAAAGGTAAGATCTTCGTGAGGGAGAAGAAATCTTCGTACAGCACGTACCGAAGTTTTTGCTTGTGTCAATGTAATCGACACTAGACGCTTTCAGAGTTTTACGTGCGATTCATTATAGTGTGTTTATGCGAAAAGATAAGTGAGTAGTTACATCGATTGTCCGTATTTTCAAGGGACACTAACTAGAGTCCAGCGATTAATTCAAAATAATTATAAGCTATACGATTATTTGTTAATAAATGTTTCATAACTATTCTTTGAGCTATCACCCGTTGTTCTGGGACTGTCATTGCCCTTTTTGTAATGTGTTAAACGATTCATAATTTCTGCAAATCATGCAGTAGTGCCTTCTGAACACTAATCATGCCACTATAAGTCCTAAAACTCTCAAAAATGTTAAAAATGCTGTGGTCATAACGCAATACCAAGTATAACAGCCGTGGTCGTCATATGATATTACTAACTATGTGACTCTCGTTCTTAATATTACAAATGGGATAATTTATGGGATACTGCACATGGTGCGAGTCTGATTCATGTAGTAATTTTTACGGATATACTGGCTTACTGAATGGTGCACGGACTTGAATTTGCTGTAGGAATCTGCATTTCCACCACGGTAGGTGTTTGCTTCTGTGTCCATTTGTCATATGAGGATCTAATACAATTCGATGGACTAAAGTGGCCAGCGTACTTTTTGTCTTGCCCTGACCCACCCTGACAACATCGCATTTAAATCAAATTCTTTTGCTGTTGATTAAATAACAAAAGCGTGGTTTAATTGAATAGTGACGGGTTCGTGCTTTTGGTTTTAAAGAATTAAATCGCCTTGGTGCATGTGGATGCTTGAGTTTATCTCGGCTCTCCAGCATGCATGTTCTTGACTTGTATTGAGTTGGGTATCACTGATTGTAAAGACAATGCGTGTAATGTTTTAAAGTAGGCTAATGGACCTTTGGTGGTGGTGCACATATAGATCATGATTTGTGTCTTATGTGTTGCAGTTCCAGCTTTTAAACTGAATAGGTAACCCTAAGCACTTTAATACTTTCCCGCTCACGTGGTCGCGCAGACCAAAGTTAAAATAACCCGCCGTGCGTGACCGCTGATAAATCCCGAGACAGAAGGTACCACATGGTATAAAGAAATGTCCTAATTAGCTTTTCCCCTATAGATTTATTTTTCTTTATTCAAATTGTAGCCTATTCTTATGGGACCGAATGAAATGTCTTTTAGCATATCAATACAACTGAAATTACCATTCAGTTCTTAAAGGCATCAATTTGCATGTTAAAACATATTACAATGGTGACCTTTTGAGTACTTTGAAATAGTATTTGACCTTTTCATCGAATTGATTCCGCAATTTTTTTGTCATGAAATTTATTGTGAGTTACAATAGTATATTATCCTTTAAAACTCTTGTCCAAATATGTAGATTATATTTCAGTTGTTGTTTGCAAGAAAGAATACCTCAGCGCACGAATTAAATCGTCTGATGAGGATATAGAATAGAATATCTTTACTGTCGTAGCACATGTACAACGAAACAAAATAGGGTCTCTGCACAAGCCTTATTTAGTATTTCCATCTTTTACATTTCTGGTATTGCTCTTCTGTGTCATGCGACGATCATGTTGCATTCGACCTGCTTGGATCAATAAAGGAAAATCGCCACGCACTCGGATACGGAGTAGGGGCCCGAAACACAGAGACGAGGCCCGGCTTCGTTTTTGGCGAAGCTCGGACTGGGTTAAGAGCTCGGAATGGGCGATGCATTCCTGAAATGCCTCGCGAAGATGCCGACGACCAGAGATTGAAACTCATCCTGCTCCCGCGGGATTTACCTCGTTCGCAAAAGAGCATAAAATGCGAACAGTGGGAAAGTCTTTGCGGATATGCCGAAATTTGTTGCGCTCTGATGTGAATAAATCTGACTGCACTGACCCCGAAGCGGTTATAGCAGAAACTAAACCCCGATATTATTCCACTTCCAGCAGAAATAGTAGCGTTTAGTATCCCAGAGCTGAAGCGAGATTAGAAATGGCTATGTGAAACCTGTTGAAACACAGCTGTGTGTTGTAATAGAGGGTAATTTATGTTACCCAGTGCAGGAAATATAATTTATCATTTGTTCGTGAAAAGGGGAAATAACACAAATGTTTGTTACCCCAGGCTTTGGGGGATTTTATTCTCGTCTAAATTCAAGCATTGGTCAGCTTTGTACAACGTGAATAAACATATTTTAAAGTATGTCTTGAATCCCAGAAAGCAATACGGACTATTTTTGTTTTTTTATATAAAACGAATTTAATGTGTTTCAGCTTTACTCTTGGCTTGCCATTTGGCTATGGGCACAGCATGCTGTTTTACAGTTCATCTTTATCTGGAAAGCATCTCCACTCCTCCTCCTCTATCCTGTCACGGTTCTGGCCGAGTGAGTCTCTCCGCTGGGGGGGGGGGGGCATGAGCGCTGCCCACTTTCCACTCTCGACCCATGTGGTATAGAGAGACGGAATCTGCTGGTGCTGTCCTCGTCCTGGTAGATGACACTAAACAGCCCATAATCTCCCCCCAAGTGTCCAAAAGCAGCAGCTTTCGCAAACTGCAAGCATGGTTCATGCGAGTGGATTAAGGGGAGGAGATGGGAATGGATGTCTTTGTGTTTGGAGTTGAGTATAAGAAAACCATGGACCAGAACGTGCTTGATAGCCGCACCTGAAATGGCTGACACTTTTATGTTGGTGCGGATAGTTTAACTTTTGGTTGTCTGGGGTTTCCTTAACTTCTGGGGTCTCCTTGTGATTTACAGTCTTCATCTATCTGGTGAGACTTGAGGAATACCTGCTGCGAATTGCCTTCAACCTTGGAAACCAAACATAGGAAAGCACATCTCTCTGGGCAAATAGTGATCTCTGGAAGAACAGTTTGGGCGAAGCGGATGGGAGAGCCGCATGCTTGTGGACTGCGGAGAGTGGGGCGGCCTTTTTGCCGGCTTGTGCGTACGGCAGGACAGGTTCCCCGTGTCCTGTTTGCCGAAACGCCGCCGCTGAGCGGGGCCTTTGTTAGCACGGCTGGTTTTTGAGACGTATTTGCTTATTGCCAGTTCTCGGCCCGACTGACTTCCATACAAGTCTCCACAAGCACGGACATCACAGGAGCGAGGGGGAGGTGCAGGGTCCCGCACAAACAGGGCGCTTGGGTGGGTGATGGGCCCCTAATGCTGACGGGAGGGGGGGGGGGGGGGGGGATCCCATTGGCTCAGCTGAAGCTGTTATGCGCAAAGTGCAGTGATTTTGCTGTTCATTTACTATTTTTACCATCTCCCCTCCCCCCCAAGGGCAAGACAACGGGAAAAAAAGTAATAATTACTGCTCCTCGATGAGAGCAATTTGCACCAGAGCTCGCAAAGTGAGAGATGGATCGGTCCACTGTGGCAAAAGGAATTCTCATCCTTGTTAATAATGTCCTTGAGGTGACCTTAGTTTAGGATGGAAGCCTCGGCGAGGGAGAGTGCCATCTGGAATCAAGACCGCCATTGTTCATTGGCTGCATTTCGTTAGAGCGTTCCTGACATCACTCTCCAAACATTGATACAAATCACTCCTTTGGCAGCTTTCCCAAAAGCTGAGGGAAAGGCTGTCCCTGCCGATGCTGCCGCCGCTGGTGGGGGTGATGGCAGCAGGAGGGGCCACAGCTAGCTGCTACGGGGGGGAGAATCTCGTGTCTCGTGCCTCCGTTATATGTAACTTGAGGCATTTCGTCCCCAGATGGAAATGGAGGGAGGTCATTTGCACTGCCGTTTGCTTATTTGTATAAATCAGTAGGTGCTGCAATCGGGCCTGTTCACTTTCCGGAAGATGGGCCTCCTGTCGCAGCTCTATGTGTCTGGTTTAATCTCTCGTAATAACGGAATTGCCCTAAGCTTCACTTGAGATGCACTTTGAAATGAGAAGGCGTGGACAGATTCCTACCCAGATTCCCAGGAGGGGGAAGGGTGGAGGTGGTGGAGGTGGGATGGGCTTCCACCCAGTTTCTGGTGGAGCTGTGGGAAATGGGGAACCACCATCTGGCTGCCCTCAAAATCACTGGATGGCTGCAGTGGAGGAAATGTTGCTTCTGTTTAGTAGTAGAAGGAGCTGATTTTTGAGGCAAACGCTGCAGTCTCTATGAACAGGGAGGTGACCTTTGCTCCTTCACTCATGTCACTCTGTGTTTATTCGGGAGATACAATGTGACTTTCTTTTAAAGGGGCGTATCTTAAATTAATTATTGTCCCGTTGAGTGTTAAGATTTCCATTTATGCTAGTTAAAGTAGGGGCTGGAGCTATGACCATCCCTGTGCATGGATGCTGGAGAACACCAACTTTCCATAAATTACATATATGTTGTAGATCCTTTATACCTTTTATATGCTATGTATCTTAGTCATCTGGTTATTTTAATACTACCTTCATCTGTACATCCTTGCTGCTAGACCAAGAAAATTCCTTTCCCAGGAGCGTCGCTGACGTGTTACCTGAATTAGGAGGCCAGTTGTGGGTACGGAGCCTGTTTGTCTCTACACATTACAGGGGAAAAATAACAAAATATGTATTTGTAATAATTCTTAGGATTCTGTTACCTGTTCCAGTGGTGTACAGGGTGT